GCGAAAATTTGTATGAATATTAGTTTTCAGCTGCTCTTATACATCATTAAAGTAAAATCTCAAGAAGATCAATAGTTTTGTAGTTTGAAGTTTAGTGACGTCATGTGAAAACCAGCTATTTTAAGGATTCTTTTCCAACGAAATGGGGCGGTTGCGGTCTGCATGAGCACGCAACGGTAAGGAAAAAGATGATGGCAGCCTCAGGTGAACATGTTGACTTAATCTAGCAGTGAAATGATGATCTCAGTTAAAAATTAAGTCCGTGCTTGTGATTGGTTACTGAGGTTCCTGTGAGGGTCTGAATTCGCGGTAAATTCAAACTAAAAATAGCTCTGTCTGTGAAAACGCAGTGACAGGAATAAGGGGTAGTTGCATGCTCCTAGTGACGGGCTCCTGATACCATATATCCACTGTTTTTTTGTTTTTTTTTTCTTGGTTTCATGTGAAAAAAAAAACACTTTCCTATTGGAAATATTCTGACAAATTTAAGTTTCACCTTCCTGTCAATTAAGATAGCTATCGGCTCTGGCAAATCTTTTTTTGTTTTGTAAGCGCAGGCAATTTTTAACATCACTGATGTTGTATCTGGCGTCGTGTTGTAACGCAACAACTGCTGACACACACACAGGCTCAGTTTTGCTACATAAAATGCCCGTGGAACTGGCTTCAAAAATCCGTCCAATTCTTTTCAGTATATCAATATGGTTATTACAAATTGTTATCGTCAGTTCTGCATCTCGTCATTCTTTCTCCTAATTATTTTCTTGAACGCTTTTCTGAATTCTCGATTTCTCCAGGTATAAACCGCTGGATTAACGCAGGCGCTGACCGATGCTAATATGGATAAAATCTGCATGGCCCGAGTCATGTTTTTCCTTTCTTCTTCCTTGAACTGTTGGTACAGAGTTCCAGTTAAGAGCGGTAGGAAACAAATCATAAACGCGCCAATAATTATTCCATAAGTCACTGCCACTTTGATTTCGACTTTTCGCATTGTTTCTCTCTCCAAGTGAGCTTGGTTTTCAAGTTTCAACTGCTGGTCTCTTGACACCTTTATGATGTAAATATAACCACTAAGAGTTACAACACATGGGAGAAAAATATATAGTACAATGATAATTGCTGCGAAGATTTTCGAAGTGTTTTGGAACTGGTGGTGGTGGAAAGAGATGCACAAATGAAATGAGTCGTAATAGTCAACGAAAGCTTCGTATGCTTCTTTAGGGAGTAAATGGGGAAAAGCAACGGTTCCTATGAGTGGAAAGATCCAGACGAAGGCCAGGGTTATCTTCATCCTCTTGCGAGTTACTAAAGTTTTGTAGCGTAGTGGAAATTTGATGGCGATGAATCTATCCACGCTGATTACAGTCAAATGTAGAATGATCACACAGATGTCGCTGAAGGCAATTTCAGAAAAGGCGTGACAAGCGGAGTGCAGTTCCTCCCCGCTGGAAAGATGGATAATTCGATACATGAATACAGCCGTCATAAGCAAATCAGCAAGGGCTAAACTGAAAATTACCATGTTAGATACTGTTCTCAGGGCTCTAACACGCCATATTGCAGCACAGACTAAGCTGTTTCCAAACCAAGTAGCAACGAATAAAACAACGTGTAAGGCAATAGTGCAGATATTGAATGGTGCATCACTCATCCTACCAAAGTCGTCTTTGCTTTCTCGTCTTGTTTGCATTGGCAAATGTCTCTTTTTTGTTTTTCAAATCGGAAATGCCCAAAATGAATAATGTTTTAAATTAATGAATTAATGTTTTTGCCTAAACACATTTTCCTTTAAATATTTCCAGTTCTTGTAGATAGGCTGAGAAGCTTGGTTAAAATAACGATCGATCGATGCTATTGACCGCTCAAAACACCAATGTGTTTTGTCTTAAATCGTCGGCATTGCACCTGCTCTGACTAAAAGCCTGCGAAATTCATCGATTATGAATGATCGGAGCCAAAATTAATAAAACGATAAGAAACTTCATTTCCGATGTTTAAGTTCTCAGGTTTCTCATGCGAAATTTCCTTCCTTTCCGGGTTGCGACTCACGTATTAAAACCTGTTAAACAGGGCATAGGAGCAAACTATTTTTTTCCAAACCTTTTCCTAGTGGTCTTACACGTTTGTGCTAAATTAATTAGCCACCCAATTCAGCTCGAGAAGTTTGCTGTTTATATTGAAACGTTTAATACATTCATACTGAAAGAAGTCAGTCTGACACTTCAGTCACTATTATGCTAATTTTTGCTAATCGAACATCTGCCTTTATTTTAATTTGCTGCATTGCGTGCCTGTGAAGGGCACGCGACTCCGAGACAACGAAATAAAACGATGTAAGTTGCACAAGAACTTTTAATGATGTTTTCAAACATCTCGGGTCGTTATTTTTAAAAAAGCTTTGTGCATCCGCCGTGATCTTTTTGAACCTGTTATGTATGTAATCTCGTCACTGCTAAAAGGAAAACAAAAACAGAAATTTAATATTCAAACGATAAAAGTAAAGCAAGAAATTGTTGTAATCACTTAAAAATAGGATGCAATTAAAAGTCAAGATGAGGTCGCGTCAACAATGGCACTTTTTAATTGATCAAGGAATAATAGGTCTCAGTAGTTTACTGAAACTTAAAACTATGATTAATTTTTTGTTCAATCATTAGTAATTGTCAACTATTCATTTTAACCTGCTAATTTTTTTAATATTTCTACTTTTTTGCTTAATTACTGAATGCCGAAAAAAATTTTTAATACTAGATAGATCTTGGAAATTGTCTCTGCATGAGTTTGATTAATTTCTTTGTTCTCATTACCATTTTCCTTGATTTATTGATATTGAGAAGATGAAATAAAGGTCGACGGCTTCACGTCAAAATTATTTTTTAGTAGTTTTTGTAAACAACTTGCAACCCTCGCAGCTGGCGTATTTTGTCTAATATCGATGTACATCGTAAAAAGATCTTGCTTTATTCTCTGCACGCATTGCAGTCCTACAATGCTAGCTGGCTCCAGTTCCATTCGCCACTTAAGAAACAAGGCGATCTGGGGCGAGTCTAATCTCGCAGTCAACTTCGTTCTCCAGTCAGGGAAAAGGCCATGGAAACAAGATTGGTCGCTTGTGGTATCGTTACTACTGGGGGACAATATATCTTCTCGTCTTTCGCCTTGTCCTCAGTAACGGTCCAACAAACCATTGCCACACTTGTCCCAGGTTTCTTCTGGTTTCTAAAGCTGTGATTATACTGATTACACGAACGCACACTCTGATAAGTAGAAAGTTGAGTTTACAGCATGGGCAGACGGAGAAAAAAAAAAGGTGAGGTAATCTAAACAAAACAACAAAGATGGGTTTGTGTGAAAATGTTCAAACGCTTGCATGACGGTCGTAAAAATGAGTTCCAAGCAGTAAAATATTGATCTCCTTGCATGGTAGATGATGATTGGTGGGGCGTGACTCGAAGGATTGGAATTTTGCACCACATGTAGCCTACGGCCAGGCTCACGTTGGAGCACAAGCGCGCGCGAAATCGAGCGGCGAAGCTACGAGACGAGAAAGTGACTTTCTTGGCGCCTCTTCACCAGACTCCTTCCNGCTGGAAAATACCATTTTAAGATTTGTAACTGACTGTACTGTGATTTCTCTTTTCCTTTTTTTTTTTTTTTTTTTTAATTCCCCTTTTTCCTTAGCAGTAATCCTACTATTCTTGCTCCTATCTAATCATCCTGGACAAATGATAATATCCTTAGGTTGAATAATGCCCGCTGGATATCTTGAGACGGGGTAGGAGGAGGGAAAAAAAGTTATTATCCCCAGGGTCCTACGCGCCTACGTCCAACGCGATGATTGATTTGTTGTTGTAATTCGAAGTCGTGTATGTTTCATTTGCTGATCGATTGACTTGACTTCTCGGTTCATCTATCCAGTTGTAGTTCATCTTCGTCTTTGAAGCCGCTAGATATAAACCAACTCAGAAACCATCTTTACTTTAGCAGTTTGCAGATGACCTATCGCTCTGCCTGTAGAGCTTGTAAAAGATCTGGGTAAAAGATATCGCACCTAACGTCCTTGCAATCGCCCAAGTGCCTGGTTTCTCCTGTTCCGTTCTTAGATAGTTCAGCAATCTACAGATGGAAATCGAAAACAGCAAATCCAGGTATTTCTTCCTCTTCTGGATCCAGAATTGTAAGCGCGATCCTTAACGACACTGAGCGAACTCAGCTAGCTACTAAGCGAAGCCAGAGCTTCGACCTTCCCTGGACAACCCCCGCTGTGGGTCAAATTCTGGTAAGTTTTAATCTCAAGAAGGTCAACTCTACACGAGCTATACATTCGGCGACATTTAGTTTAACCCTAATCAGGCTGGGTAAAAAGCCCCTATTTCCTCCCGGTTTGCAGCACACCAACAAAACGTGGTCCCGTCCGAAACGCGCTTGCCCGCTCGCGCCGAATTTATTTTCCGTCCACGCCGGGAGCCTGTTCGCAGGCTACGTTTCATGTCCGGTGGTTAATTTTTAACTTGATAAAGTGCAAATTTCGTTATCAGGTGTGAATTCAAGGAATGGATCCAGGTGCCTTTATTTTGTCTAACCTCCCACCCCTCCCTCGGCCTTTTGAGCAAAAAAAAGAAGGAAAAAAAATGTAAATCTTATTTATAGTGGTCATGCACTTAACTATACAAGCACTAAGCTTAGCTAGTTTACACGAAACAAATATTTCAAATAAACGTAACTTAGTTAANATTGCTGTGACCAGAATTTTGGCGAGAGTCTTTGCATATTTACCTTCTTTTATTTCCCAGATTCTGGACTCTATCTATTGACCGGTTTTGATTTTTATTTTGATCTATTTTGAATTGCTTGACACTGAAAACCAGCAATTTATTTTCCGTCAACGTCGGGAGCCTGTTCGCAGGCTACGTTTCATGTCCGGTGGTTAATTTTTAACTTGATTAAGTGCAAATTTCCTTATCAGGTGTGAATTCAAGGGATGGATCCAGGTGCCTTTATTTTGTCTAACCTCCCACCCCTCCCTCGGCCTTTTGAGCAAAAAAAGAAGGAAAAAAAATGTAAATCTTATTTATAGTGGTCATGCACTTAACTATACAAGCACTAAGCTTAGCTAGTTTACACGAAACAAATATTTCAAATAAACGTAACCTACTTAAAAAATCCCAACTGGCAGGAGGCAGACCAGTTAGCTATTTACAAAGCCTGACCGAGGATTTGAACCCGGGAATACTGAGAAACAAATCCCACTAGTGGCAGGACGGAGGCCTTGAACCCGGGACCTCTGGATTACAACACCAGCGCCCTAAACCACTCAGCCACGCTGCCTCCTTGTGTGTGTCTGGTTCCATCATTTCTCGCCCCCGACTTCCCTCCTCCACAGAGCCCGTTAGTCACCAGTGTGATTTTACTTCACACGTGAAACTTATCACAATAGTCTCGCTATCAGTCTCAAACAAAGCAAAACATAAGGAAATAATGAAGTTTATTAACAATCTAGATCTATATGCTGCTTNCGGCCACGCTGCCTTCTTGTGTGTGTCTGGTTCCATCATTTCTCGCCCCCGACTTCCCTCCTCCACAGAGTCCGTTAGTTACCAGTGTGATTTTACTTCACACGTGAAACTTATCACAATAGTCTCGCTATCAGTCTCAAACAAAGCAAAACATAAGGAAATAATGAAGTTTATTAACAGTCTAGATCTATATGCTGCTTGTTTATACAATACACGCCATGTAAATGTGGGGTAGCCTATCAGGTATTCTTATAACAATGGGTCGAGGCATTGTAATATTTCAGCTTTGTTTTACTGGTTTCTTTCGTTGCAAATTATCTTTGCTATCTTTTTTTGTTTTGTTTTGCTTCATGATCTCAAAAACGAAGACTGGACTGATTATAACGAGCCACCTCGCTTCTCCAACTGCCTCTCTCATTTAGGTAACACCAAAGAAAAAACATGTACGATGTTGAAAAAATGCCTTAACGGTATCGTTGGCGCTTGCTTCATGAGACTAATTGATGGGCGCAGATGAAGTTATTTCAGTAGGCTTCTTCTTTTGCATTGTCATAACTTGCAAAGAAAACGTGCACTCCTTCGGAAAACGATAATTCATACGAATGAAGCATCTTGTAAATGAGATGTTAGCACTTCTTCGCGACTCCTGGCAAATCCTGTAGCTTTTCGTTAACTTGTCCTTGCGCCCTGTGTACAGCCTCCGCTTTGTTCGCCGCTTTATTTTTTTTATGACCTGGGGCCTCATTTTTTACTTTTGCGGCTGTGTCGCTTGGTTGATAAGGCATACGGATATAAACAGCTTCTAAATGAAGCCCTTTTGTTGCACATTCAATCTGTAACAGCCCCAATGCATGACCTATTTTATGATGAGTGCATCGCGACGTCCTTTATATTCTGCTGTAATCTTTATATGTGGTTATGTAAGTTTTCGTCTTTTCAGTTAATCGTTGAGGTGAAGAGTGCCGACAATTATTGTAAAATCAAACGGAAACGTCTTATCAAAACGGACCATTCAGCTGAAACCACAAAGTTCGGTGGAGGCTAACAAACCACGTGCAACCATAACATTTCACGCGCTAAATCCCGTGATTCTAAGAACAAATAGTTATGAACAAAAGAGGGAAACTGGAAGTTAAAAGTCTTTACTAGTCAAAGTCAGTAAGAATTTTCTTTTAACATTGTTCAGTAACGTGNCTGATTGTAACGAGCTACCTCGCTTCTCAAACTGCCTCTCTCATTTAGGTAACACCAAAGAAAAAACATGCACGATGTTGAAAAAATGCCTTAAAGGTATCGTTGGCGCTTGCCTCTTGAGACTAATTGATGGGCGCAGATGAAATTATTTTAGTAGGCTTCGTCTTTTGCATTGCCATAACTTGCAAAGAAAAAGCGCACTCCTTCAGAAAACGATAATTCATACGAATGAAGCATCTTGTAAATGAGATGTTAGCACTTCTTCGCGACTCCTAGCAAATCCTGTAGCTTTTCGTTAACTTGTCCTTGCGCCCTGTGTACAGCCTCCGCTTTGTTCGCCGCTTTATTTTTTTTATGACCTGGGGCCTCATTTTTTACTTTTGCGGCTGTGTCGCTTGGTTGATAAGGCATACGGATATAAACAGCTTCTAAATGAAGCCCTTTTGTTGCACATTCAATCTGTAACAGCCCCAATGCATGACCTATTTTATGATGAGTGCATCGCGACGTCCTTTATATTCTGCTGTAATCTTTATATGTGGTTATGTAAGTTTTCGTCTTTTCAGTTAATCGTTGAGGTGAAGAGTGCCGACAATTATTGTAAAATCAAACGGAAACGTCTTATCAAAACGGACCATTCAGCTGAAACCACAAAGTTCGGTGGAGGCTAACAAACCACGTGCAACCATAACATTTCACGCGCTAAATCCCGTGATTCTAAGAACAAATAGTTATGAACAAAAGAGGGAAACTGGAAGTTAAAAGTCTTTACTAGTCAAAGTCAGTAAGAATTTTCTTTTAACATTGTTCAGTAACGTGAACTGAATTTTTCTTTGAAGAAAGCGGCCTAACGAAAGATTGCCGTAACTTCACGAAAACACAAAAGCTAATTATATGGCTCAATTATTTTTCAACCAGCAGTGAATGGAAAAATTGCCTCCAGGGACCGCTTATTGTGTTGCAATAAAAGCTACGTGTCTCTTTGTTATTTTGCAATTCATATTTCTGTTTTCTAGAGATATGAGTTACGTTCAGCTGCTAACTCGAGTTAAATGTGAGGCACGTCCCGAACTCGAATAAAATTTCGTGGGTCTGGGAAAATTAAGCAGTGTTTGCAACACTAATTTCCGTTACGGTATGCTACACTGGACAAGTTAATGAAAAAGATGATTTAGAAGTGAATCAATCTTTGAGAATCTGTTTAATAAACATATCATTTGTCTCTCCATTTTTTGTAACGATTCTTTGCCGTGATGTAGGAATTGTTTGATCAAATGTTCCGTTGTTTTAATAACACACAAATTTGGCAGTACTGTGGCAATGTTTTTATTTGTAGCTGTCTTGATGAATTCTGATCCTTGAGAGGCAGCCACGAGATTATGTCCTCATAAAGCTCTCCAGCTTTATCGTTTAACCGTTATAACAACAAAGCGAAAACCAAAACAAACATCTTAACACCTGTTGTGAACTTTAATCAAGGACAGAAGTAAATATGCTACTTTCTGCTACTTTCCGCGCATTCTTACAAGCGTTAAAAGCTTGGTACGAGAAACATCTTTATTACTTACGTTCGTGAATTGCGCAAAGTTCGACAAACCACATTGGAAAAGCCGTTTCCGAAGAGAGTTAATTGACTGAAAAATTTGCGAAAGTGCCGGTCTCTGTTGACCCTATTCAAGGGCAGTGACACAAATAATGTCCCTCTTATTCCTATTGAAGTCCTAATCGCTTAATATGAGCGACACTATTGATTGTAAATTGCTTTTTTGGCTGTTTCTTAATTTGAAGCATTGAAAGGACCTTGGCGAAGAAACAGCCGTACAAATTGTTTCCTTTGAAATGTGAAGAGGGTATCACTTTAGTAATCGGATAGTGTTTACGCCTCCTCAAAAAAATTTTCAATTATAAACCTTTCTCGTGTTTTGGGAAGCGTTAGGTTCTTTGCGATCACAGCTTGCTTTGTTTCACGGTTTCAGCTCTCTAGCGAGGATGTGGTAAAATTCATCGTTCACAAAGTCACGTAATTTTCCTTATTGTCAACAAGTTCTTTAAAGGAACCCAAACTAATTAAAAGAAGGAAAATCAAAGAGAATACTAAAATACCGAGGGAACGTTTCAATACACAGTCACGGCAGAAAGCTTGCAACTACGAACTGCAAATCTCGAACCGAACGTCCAAATCACCAAGGAAAACACAAGTCTTTTAAGCAGTAAGTACACATTTTGATAGTATATTTACCCGCAAGCTTCTTCATCAACAAGGCACTGTCTAAGGGATTAAACTTGAAGTAGCGATTTCACCGGCTTTCTGTGTGGGCGGGAACAGCCCTCTTCAAGGTATGCCAGATCAGGATTTGAACTAATTAGAAGTTGTTAGTTAACCGTGCTGGCGTTATTGTTGGGTTCTTAAACGTATGCAGACATGCAGACTGCAAACAAAAATGATATAATTTTAGTGGTCACTGTTAATGTGGCTGCCTAATCCATTGTTTTGAATGACGGTAATAATCACATGCGACTAAAGGGCCGATTTATGTAGGCGAATTAGGATTCTTGAGTTATTACAACTCACTGTGGACACAACTGAACAAGATCGTTAGGAGTTCAAGATGAACTTGTTCAAAGCTCTTTACATGGTTGTACTGTTTGGTTTAACAAGTCTTAATGTACTCGCAGAAGGCAATGGCGCTTGGTGGTAAGTTTATAATTACACTTCCTGATTATGATGTTGTTACAACGTTAAACAACGCAAACTAAGACTATTTTCCTTTCCTTCTCTCTAGGAACCTTGGTGTAAGTGGCTCATCGAAGCCTCAGGATAACTATAATTTCCAACTCTCTCCTGCTAACGGAGTGAAGCCCGTCACGCCAAAACAGCAACGTTTATGTCGGAAATATCCTGAGTTGGTTCCATACATTGGACTCGGAGCAAAATTTTCCATCAGTCAATGTCAATTCCAGTTTAAAAACCGAAAATGGAATTGTTCAGCTCACAGTCCTGAAAATGTTTTTGGGAAAATAGTGAAAATAGGTAAGTTATATTTGGTGATGTTTTCGTGGGTGTCACCTGTTAATTTCGCTTTTCCTCGTTCTTTCTCACGAAATGTGCTCTTCATTTAACACCACACACGATTCCGTTCTGTACGAAGTAGTTGTTTTGATTTAATGTTTCTTTTCCTTCAAACAAACACAAGATATGATCAAACCTTGTCAGCATTCTTCGCCGTCAAACTTTCCCTAAGTTAGGGAAAATTCATGTTTTTTTTCCCAACATATTTACGAGAGCTCACTTAATATTCAAGTAATATTTCTTCTCTTTTGTTTGGAGTGGCGGAAAAGGCTTGTGAAATATTTAATAAGTTTCTCTACGCTGTTATTTCCGTAACTTGTTCGTGTATTTCCTTCAAGTACTTTTAACTTTACGGTTTAAAACGAGTAGTCTGGGCATTTTAAATACTCAGTGAGATATCAGAATAAGCTAGCTCGGCTTACCGTGTTTCAAAAACGGCCGCAGTAGAATCTTTAATCGTCTTGGAATTTGCTGATTGAGTAAGTGGGAGTCCTTAAATTGTAAAATTGCGTTTTAACGTAAAGAAAAAAACGTAGAAGAAATAAGGCATTTAAGAAAAGGCAAAATAATTGTGGCTTCATTTAATTGCTATACTCTACAGCGAACAATCTGTTTCTCGAAAAATAGAGTAAATCAAGAGATAGTTGAATTTTCAAATTCCTTATGCACCCAAGGAATGAAACCGAAACAGGAAGACTATATATTCATCTAAGCCTTGTCAATAAACCCCATATGCAACCCACGCAGTAGGCGATATCAGTACTTATTGTATGACTCAGCATCTGATATGGCGTTTTATTTATGGACATTTGTCATATGCGAAATTTTCCTCATGCAAACGCTAATCTCTTTGATATATAGTTCTTTACAAAACTGACCATCCTTGAATATACACATGCAACATACATACTTAGGAAAAGTATTGTTTGTTAAATTCTGAACTTGGTCACTCTTGGTGGTGAAAAAGCTGTGATGCAATGAGAACTTTTCTGTGTTAGCTTGTAGGGAAACAGCATTCACCTACTCCATAACAGCCGCTGGTGTGTCGCACGCCATTGCTAGGGCTTGTAGCGACGGCAAGCTGTCGGCGTGCGGATGTGACAGCCGGTACAAGGGCGTCAGTAACGAAGGATGGCAGTGGGGAGGTTGCNGCAAATCCTGTAGCTTTTCGTTAACTTGTCCTTGCGCCCTGTGTACAGCCTCCGCTTTGTTCGCCGCTTTATTTTTTTTATGACCTGGGGCCTCATTTTTTACTTTTGCGGCTGTGTCGCTTGGTTGATAAGGCATACGGATATAAACAGCTTCTAAATGAAGCCCTTTTGTTGCACATTCAATCTGTAACAGCCCCAATGCATGACCTATTTTATGATGAGTGCATCGCGACGTCCTTTATATTCTGCTGTAATCTTTATATGTGGTTATGTAAGTTTTCGTCTTTTCAGTTAATCGTTGAGGTGAAGAGTGCCGACAATTATTGTAAAATCAAACGGAAACGTCTTATCAAAACGGACCATTCAGCTGAAACCACAAAGTTCGGTGGAGGCTAACAAACCACGTGCAACCATAACATTTCACGCGCTAAATCCCGTGATTCTAAGAACAAATAGTTATGAACAAAAGAGGGAAACTGGAAGTTAAAAGTCTTTACTAGTCAAAGTCAGTAAGAATTTTCTTTTAACATTGTTCAGTAACGTAAACTGAATTTTTCTTTGAAGAAAGCGGCCTAACGAAAGATTGCCGTAACTTCACGAAAACACAAAAGCTAATTATATGGCTCAATTATTTTTCAACCAGCAGTGAATGGAAAAATTGCCTCCAGGGACCGCTTATTGTGTTGCAATAAAAGCTACGTGTCTCTTTGTTATTTTGCAATTCATATTTCTGTTTTCTAGAGATATGAGTTACGTTCAGCTGCTAACTCGAATTAAATGTGTAGGCACGTCCCGAACTCGAATAAAATTTCGTGGGTCTGGGAAAATTAAGCAGTGTTTGCAACACTAATTTCCGTTACGGTATGCTACACTGGACAAGTTAATGAAAAAGATGATTTAGAAGTGAATCAATCTTTGAGAATCTGTTTAATAAACATATCATTTGTCTCTCCATTTTTTGTAACGATTCTTTGCCGTGATGTAGGAATTGTTTGATCAAATGTTCCGTTGTTTTAATAACACACAAATTTGGCAGTACTGTGGCAATGTTTTTATTTGTAGCTGTCTTGATGAATTCTGATCCTTGAGAGGCAGCCACGAGATTATGTCCTCATAAAGCTCTCCAGCTTTATCGTTTAACCGTTATAACAACAAAGCGAAAACCAAAACAAACATCTTAACACCTGTTGTGAACTTTAGTCAAGCACAGAAGTAAATATGCTACTTTCTGCTACTTTCTGCGCGTTCTTACAAGCGCTAAAAGCTTGGTACGAGAAACATCTTTATTGCTTACGTTCGTGAATTGCGCAAAGTTCGACAAACCACATTGGAAAAGCCGTTTCCGAAGAGAGTTAATTGACTGAAAAATTTGCGAAAGTGCCGGTCTCTGTTGACCCTATTCAAGGGCAGTGACACAAATAATGTCCCTCTTATTCCTATTGAAGTCCTAATCGCTTAATATGAGCGACACTATTGATTGTAAATTGCTTTTTTGGCTGTTCCTTAATTTGAAGCATTGAAAGGACCTTGGCGAAGAAACAGCCGTACAAATTGTTTCCTTTGAAATGTGAAGAGGGTATCACTTTAGTAATCGGATAGTGTTTACGCCTCCTCAAAAAAATTTTCAATTATAAACCTTTCTCGTGTTTTGGGAAGCGTTAGGTTCTTTGCGATCACAGCTTGCTTTGTTTCACGGTTTCAGCTCTCTAGCGAGGATGTGGTAAAATTCATCGTTCACAAAGTCACGTAATTTTCCTTATTGTCAACAAGTTCTTTAAAGGAACCCAAACTAATTAAAAGAAGGAAAATCAAAGAGAATACTAAAATACCGAGGGAACGTTTCAATACACAGTCACGGCAGAAAGCTTGCAACTACGAACTGCAAATCTCGAACCGAACGTCCAAATCACCAAGGAAAACACAAGTCTTTTAAGCAGTAAGTACACATTTTGATAGTATATTTACCCGCAAGCTTCTTCATCAACAAGGCACTGTCTAAGGGATTAAACTTGAAGTAGCGATTTCACCGGCTTTCTGTGTGGGCGGGAACAGCCCTCTTCAAGGTATGCCAGATCAGGATTTGAACTAATTAGAAGTTGTTAGTTAACCGTGCTGGCGTTATTGTTGGGTTCTTAAACGTATGCAGACATGCAGACTGCAAACAAAAATGATATAATTTTAGTGGTCACTGTTAATGTGGCTGCCTAATCCATTGTTTTGAATGACGGTAATAATCACATGCGACTAAAGGGCCGATTTATGTAGGCGAATTAGGATTCTTGAGTTATTACAACTCACTGTGGACACAACTGAACAAGATCGTTAGGAGTTCAAGATGAACTTGTTCAAAGCTCTTTACATGGTTGTACTGTTTGGTTTAACAAGTCTTAATGTACTCGCAGAAGGCAATGGCGCTTGGTGGTAAGTTTATAATTACACTTCCTGATTATGATGTTGTTACAACGTTAAACAACGCAAACTAAGACTATTTTCCTTTCCTTCTCTCTAGGAACCTTGGTGTAAGTGGCTCATCGAAGCCTCAGGATAACTATAATTTCCAACTCTCTCCTGCTAACGGAGTGAAGCCCGTCACGCCAAAACAGCAACGTTTATGTCGGAAATATCCTGAGTTGGTTCCATACATTGGACTCGGAGCAAAATTTTCCATCAGTCAATGTCAATTCCAGTTTAAAAACCGAAAATGGAATTGTTCAGCTCACAGTCCTGAAAATGTTTTTGGGAAAATAGTGAAAATAGGTAAGTTATATTTGGTGATGTTTTCGTGGGTGTCACCTGTTAATTTCGCTTTTCCTCGTTCTTTCTCACGAAATGTGCTCTTCATTTAACACCACACACGATTCCGTTCTGTACGAAGTAGTTGTTTTGATTTAATGTTTCTTTTCCTTCAAACAAACACAAGATATGATCAAACCTTGTCAGCATTCTTCGCCGTCAAACTTTCCCTAAGTTAGGGAAAATTCATGTTTTTTTTCCCAACATATTTACGAGAGCTCACTTAATATTCAAGTAATATTTCTTCTCTTTTGTTTGGAGTGGCGGAAAAGGCTTGTGAAATATTTAATAAGTTTCTCTACGCTGTTATTTCCGTAACTTGTTCGTGTATTTCCTTCAAGTACTTTTAACTTTACGGTTTAAAACGAGTAGTCTGGGCATTTTAAATACTCAGTGAGATATCAGAATAAGCTAGCTCGGCTTACCGTGTTTCAAAAACGGCCGCAGTAGAATCTTTAATCGTCTTGGAATTTGCTGATTGAGTAAGTGGGAGTCCTTAAATTGTAAAATTGCGTTTTAACGTAAAGAAAAAAACGTAGAAGAAATAAGGCATTTAAGAAAAGGCAAAATAATTGTGGCTTCATTTAATTGCTATACTCTACAGCGAACAATCTGTTTCTCGAAAAATAGAGTAAATCAAGAGATAGTTGAATTTTCAAATTCCTTATGCACCCAAGGAATGAAACCGAAACAGGAAGACTATATATTCATCTAAGCCTTGTCAATAAACCCCATATGCAACCCACGCAGTAGGCGATATCAGTACTTATTGTATGACTCAGCATCTGATATGGCGTTTTATTTATGGACATTTGTCATATGCGAAATTTTCCTCATGCAAACGCTAATCTCTTTGATATATAGTTCTTTACAAAACTGACCATCCTTGAATATACACATGCAACATACATACTTAGGAAAAGTATTGTTTGTTAAATTCTGAACTTGGTCACTCTTGGTGGTGAAAAAGCTGTGATGCAATGAGAACTTTTCTGTGTTAGCTTGTAGGGAAACAGCATTCACCTACTCCATAACAGCCGCTGGTGTGTCGCACGCCATTGCTAGGGCTTGTAGCGACGGCAAGCTGTCGGCGTGCGGATGTGACAGCCGGTACAAGGGCGTCAGTAACGAAGGATGGCAGTGGGGAGGTTGCAGTGACAACGTGCATTTCGCCGACCAGTTCTCGAGGAAGTTCGTAGACGCAGGAGAAAAAGGCCGTGATTTTCGTACTTTGGTTAATTTACACAACAACGAGGCAGGAAGAACTGTAAGTAATTTTCCCCTCTTTTGGGTGTGAAATAGAGAGTTAATTGAAAGCTACGAGGAAAAAAATCGTTATATAAGCCGCAATGAAACGACAAGGAATGCCGTAGCCTAGGGCAATGAATGAATCTCTTTTCGGTTATGAACAAACACTTTCCGAACAATCGTTTATTGCAAAAAGTAATTTAAATGGATCTGGCGGTAGGCTAAGACCATCTGTATTTGTACAGCTTAAAGGGAAATTCTAAATTGTCAGATTAGTTAGTGCTATCCTTAATTTGAAACTGGCAATTTCTGAAAAGAATCTTGCTTTCTCTATCTCCAGCTTTCTAAAGTATCGCTTCACAGAGATATGATGCCACAAAATCATAAAAATTTTCATCTTGGATTGTGAAAACCACCGAATCAGCACAAACTAGTTTCTCCTTATCAAAACATTACATGTATTCAGTAGACAGGCTGAGAGGGTAAATGAAATCATTAACTGATAGAGATATGGTGATGTATTGTCAAATTCTCGGAACTAACGATAAACAATTGGTATCGACACACTTAAGAGAGTTAATACTTTCACCTGTGACCTAAAAGGAGTAATGTAGGAGGTTTGATACTTCTTTGTGTTTGAACTAACAGGGCGTTTAATTTTCGGCAAACCTTTGTCCAAATTGTTTCATTTCAGGGAAGAAATTACTGTCTGAGGTTAACGGTTGTAACTAGCGGTTTCCCACAGAACAACGCAAGACTAATTGCTGGAGACCCACACGTAAAATCATTACCTATTATTTTAGAACCGCGGCTTTTCGCCGACGATTAATTTGCATTTTATTGTGCCCCACACTGTTTTGATTTCGTTTCCCACGGTAAAACGTCTTGCAGAGAAATTAGGTTCGTGGTACAATAGATTGTTATACATAAACATTTTCATACTCTGGGAATGCAAAGAATAAATTTACCGCTACCGAAATGAGAACACATTGTTCTAATACGACGAAAAAGTTAACAGCTTCTGAAAGAACTGCCGACGTATTCTGACTTCATCTATACCGCCCGCCATTATATGAGTTTCCTTTTTACGTATAGCACGAGCCGCCCAGATAAAACGGAAAAACTGTGCCGGCACTTTTAATTTCATTCGTCGATCTCCTACAATTTAGTATATTTTCAGGAGAAAACTTTGCTGAACTAACAAGTTTGTCAAAACGGAAAGATAGCATTTGATTCGACTGATCGAATATATGTTTATCACAAAATCTGATGGCACTTTCTCTTTGAAATTTCCTTCAATTTCAATGTAATATCATTCTTGGCCAAGGCCCTTTACTCTTACAGTGAACCCTTACACCCATCTTAATGAGGTGTAATACTATTTTTCCAATTTTCACTGGAAGTACACTTATAATTTCCCGTAATCGGCACAACTGTTCGGCGGAGTTAACCCTTCACTGAAGTTCGGATAACGACTTACTCGTATTTAACATCAGGGCATTTAAATCTCGCGTATATTCTGCAATTTAATTTTACGCTCTTCGTGGAAAGTTCCTCGGTTTAGGCAACATGTTAGCAAAACATTTGTTGGGTAATTTCGTCTCATTTGCTCACCAAGGAACATTTTGAAATAACAATGTCTCATTTCACGTGGGCCGTATTCACAGCAGTTTTCGATATGTTTTGTTCTATCCTTTTGCGCGCACACAAGATCTGAAACTTTATAATTTTTTTAAGGCTGTTAGAGAGAACGTGGTGAGAGAGTGCAAGTGTCACGGAGTGTCGGAAGCTTGCACTGTGCGCACCTGTTGGAAACGATTGGCGGACTTCAGACGAATTGGGGAAGTTCTTAAAGGTAAATTCGACAGCGCCTCACTGGTGGAGTTTGAACAAAACAACAATCGAAATGGCCACAATGCAAGGAAAGGAAAACCAGCTTTTCGTCCGAGGAATAAACTTCACAAGCCCCCTACTGAGGCGGACTTGGTATACTACGAAGAATCACCGGATTTTTGCGAGCGAAATCTCGAAACAGGATCCCTTGGGACAAAGGGACGTCTTTGCAATAACACATCCATCGGAACGGACGGGTGTGATTTAATGTGCTGCGAGAGAGGTTTTACGACCAGTGAAAGTGAAATGGAAGAACTCTGCAATTGCCGTTTCTTTTGGTGCTGTAAAGTAAAATGCCAGAATTGTCGATCAAGGCACATTGTTCACAGGTGTAAGTAATGTCAGAAAAATTGATGTCAAGATATCAACTCTCTCACTCCCAGAACCAAACCTCGAGTTCACAAGTGGTCCTAACTTCAAAAGCTTTAGATGAAACCCTTATGTGTGACCATTCAAATGAAAGCTATTGAGCAGTACTTTCATGTGGGACTGTTTATTATGCTGTACAAGGTGGTTCCAACTTTAAAGTCTGTGGATGAAACCCTAGTGTGTGACCATTCAAATGAAAGCTATTGAGCAGTTCTTTTATGTAGTGTTGTTTATTATGCTGTACGAGGTGATTCTAACTGCTAAGTCTCTAGATTAAACCCTGTTGTGTGACCATTCAAATGAAAGCTATTGAGCAGTACTTCAGTCACCTGGTAATACTGACTTGTTTTCATTTTTTTATGAGACTTTTTTTTCATCAATTTCAAGTTTGAACTGGGTCATTTTTGGGAGTGAGAAGAGTCAAAGTTTGCAGCAATTTTGTAGAGATAAAACACGGCGCCAGCTATTAATTTCGCTCCGCCTTATTTAATGTGTTCTAAAGGGTCTTCACTGGAAATTAAGGCATGATGTAGGAAAAAGGCGGAGCAGTCTTACAGTGGCATTTGGAACATAGTCTGAGTTATTAGTAACTACAAAATCGGTATGTTTTCATACGTGCATTCATTCCTGTGGAATAAATGCATAGTATTATGTAAGAGATATAGAGATTTATTTTCTTCCCAATAATTATTCGACCGCAGTAAAATTTTGATTGACCTAGCGTAATCACGCATAAGCCTTAGAAGATATCCTAAGTTAGCGGCAGTCTCAGATTCTTATAGTTAGTATAAATGCTCTTATTTTCTTTTAGAATGAGCAGAAAGTTTAGTTCAGTTTTATTGAACGTGCTGTAATGAATGTAGTATAAATTTCAACTGCAAGGAAAGCTACAAGCAGTGATCTATAGTATCTTAAGGCTACGCCCACTCTACACCGGAGGAATTTGAAAAGAGAGGTTTGTCTCTGGAAACACATCAAATGTTTTCCATCCACATTAGGCCGGAGGAATTTAAAAAAGTAACAATTGCTGGTCATTATATGCATTTATTTTTGAGAAAAACTCGTTCAGGGAAATCATATGATTACCGTGGCGCCATCGTTTTCGAAAAGCGCCGTTTTCGTGACGGATTAGTGTGGTCGGTAGGCCTGACGGTAGAAATAAAGTTGCGTTTTCAAATTTCTCTAGCGCAGTCTGGACGGGGCCTGAAACTGTGTTCTTTTGGGGTCAAACATTTTTAATTGATTGTTGTTTCGTTTTGTTTTGGTGTTCTTTCCCGTTTACTCTTTTGGAAAAACAGATGTTTTTAACCGCCATCAAGCTTAGCGAAAGGCCTTTAATAAATTTTAAATTGAGGATTTTTTTTCGAAACTTATTTTCAGGTTTAAACATGTAATTATTAATCCCAAAAGAGCACAGCAAAGTAGTTTTCTTACGATTTGTTAATTTTTGATGTCTAAACGCTTTTGTTCAGAGGGTCTATAGGATATAAAATTATGATCTGAATTTTTGTTCGTGTTATTTTTGTAGTCAAAGACTTTGTAAAGAAATGTTTGGTTGTATATAGAAGGCATGTGTTTTTAACTTAACTTTCCGCAGTACTTTCAAGTGGGATCGCATAGAGAGAGAGAGAGAGAGAGCTGTAACTAGTTATAATAAAAAGAAAAGCCATTTTTTATTACAATATGACCTGTAAATGTTGTATTTATTTTTGTCACTTTTGCCCGTTTTTGTTTCTTTGTTTGTTTTTCTTAGACTGGGTAACCTTATTTGGTACTAAAAATGAATATTGCCGCACATCCCTAATACTTGCAATTGATACTTGAGGTCGGATCTTCCCGGCCTTTTTCATGCCCATATAACTTACAGCAAAAACAACAGCAGCAACAACCACAACGGCACTACAATTCTAAGCACTTTCCGAAGATCGGCCAAAGATTTCTGACTATTTTCCGAAAATTTCGTAGATTATCGGAACGTCTTGCGAGTAATGTATACTCTTGAACATTTCTGGACTGCTGAACATGATTTCGAAGATTCCGACAAAACTTCAGCCCCATAATGTTATGACTCCATCCCAACTATAGATGTCAAGCCTACATTTATTTAATTTACCAAACCTAACAATTAAGATTATGAAACATTTAACTGACAACAACAAGCTTTCATACAAAGCAGCTTAAAAAGGCAGAGAATGTAAGGCATTAAGCAAATTTCGGGCGTTTTGTTGACCTTGGCAATATGATTTCGCAAAAGAATTGCTTTGATCCTTACAACGATTAAATTTACATTCTTGGAAACGTTAACTAGGTGGACAAAATATTTGGGGCGTAAAACCGTGACGTGCTGCAAATTATTTTAGCGATTATTGAGTTAACGTTTAGTGGATATAAGTGTCTGTTATGTTGTGCAGTAAAAAGTCATGGAATGCCAATTTGAAAATTTGTCACGCTTGCTTCTGTTAAAGAAAAAATAATGTTTTTAAGGAAAACGGCCAATTTTTTAAGTTTACAAGACATGTTTCGACAGAACTTCTGTCATCTTCAGTTGAATGATAACAAGTTCTGTCGAAACATGTCTTGTAAACTTAAAAAATTGATCGTTTTCCTTAAAATCTTTACGTGTCTGCTGTTATCTAGACCTTTTAAAAATAATGTTGTTGTGAAGGTGAGGGGCAGGGCACGTTATGTATATTCGCTGACCAAGGCTACACTGCCGAAGGTTATAAGTTGTTTAACAATTCTTTCCGTTTGAGTCAAACGGATACAGCGAGATTAAAGAAAATCTATCCGCAACTGATTAAATACTGTCAGCGATGGACGTTCTGATAAACGATGTATTTACTGCATTCTAAGGAGGATTACTATGACGGATCTAATGAATGGAAGGCTAAAGGATTAATGTAGAGATTGTCTTATTATCCAATGTTATTGGCAAGGTTTTTATCTCTTGAGAAACCGAGTTCTTGTTCTGCTATCAAGGGACATCTTTATCACTGATTGCAACTCAAAACGCACCAGCAAATGTCAGAAGCTCTGAGCGTATTTTTTTTCGTTTCCCTGATTTAAGATTAAACCTTATCTTCAACAACAGGATAATTCATCAACGAGACAACATTTCTTTAGATGACAAAATTGTTAAGAATTAAGAGCTATCACATGACGTAGAACGATTGACAATTACTGAAATTGCTGACGCCTTCTAAAAGAGCTTTTGGCGACATGATTTTAAGCCAAACTTTCAATAAGGAAATATTATGTTTATGGAAAGTGTTAAATAGTTGGCACACTTTCGAACACCGTACTTAGCTGGCTGATCCAGCTGTGTATACATCCACTTACCACACTTGCCAAACAAAATGTTTAGGCTCGCGGATAAAACGTGCTGGTATGCAGTTGTACCCACCCACACTTGAGTAGTTTTAATCTTTATGGTACTAATTGAATTTGAAGTCTTTTAGGCTTATCAATGTATTTTTTTTTATTGTACCTTCAAGTGGAGCACGTACACAGCACAACCGTTTGTCAAGTTACTCTGTTCATCAATTTGAATGATTGCCATGCATTTTTTGTCGGGGAATAAATCAAAGGACCATTTTATCATTCGATGTACTTTTAAACGATTATTTTGTATTTTTTCACAATCGTTTTGGTACGTTTGTAGTTTAGTTTCGCAAGGCCATTATGTAAACGACTCCATGCTAACCGTTGTAAAATGAAGTCTTCTTCTTTTTCTCGGAGAGTAGTCATCGCTATCTACCGAGTAAATCACTATCAATTGGATAAATCCCTCCCATTCGATAAATCACAATCGAACGGATAAATCCTGGTAACCTCGCCCTTACCTCGAGTTCGTCAGTGGTCAAACGAGCTGCGCGCACATTTCTCGCCAAAACTGTTGTTTGTAAACGTCTCAATTTTCAGAAATCGTCCTCTTTCACGGCAAAATAAGACAAACACTGGAAACATAGACAGTTCAATAGTTGTTATAATTATATTAAACTGGCACTGTTTTTCTTTAACCATGGTTTATACAAACTTCTACAAATTTCGAGAAAATCAAAAGAGACGTTGGAATTTTGTGTTTAACTGTGGAGAGTCATTTGCGTCCCACATATTAATTCATCTTACTGATTTCAATAATTCATTTCTGTTTTCACTTTGAGAACTGAGGACTCCTTTCGTTTAAGGATTACTCTCTTTCGCTGCCTTCTTTATATGCATTTTGAATTTACATCCATAAATGTATACCATGCATGTCTTATTGACCAAGGCGAGAGAGAGAGTCTTAGAACTTGAAAGTCTGACGCACAGAAAACATTAAGGGTCAATAGATCAATTCTCTTAGTACGGTCTCTACCAAGCTCGGCAATTAACTTTATGTCTGAAATTCGGCAATAAAGCGTTCGGACGCCGATTGAGAAGTTTGACTAGCTGTCAAACCCTGTCATGAAATGTGAGATTTGATCAGTTGTCAATTCCTGAGTACGTAATGTATCGTTCTACCGAAAGACGATATGTGAAGCCATAATTTTTCTGTCAAATTTTAAAATGACTGCCGGCGATCGCCCTATTCCGTGACCTAACGGGACTGGACTAGAAAGTCTATTTTAGTCTGCACGGAAAACGCGTTTGTTCCGCGTACTCTTTTGATCTAAATTGTCACGTGATCATATCCCTTGGCGCTGATTGGTTTAAAGGATATTGTTAAATCTGACAATCTCCCGGATTGTTCATTTGAATGGCATGCGATGGCATGCTTCATCTTTATTTATTATTCTTTTTTTGTATTTTTACCATTCACTGCCGTTCAGGAAAGAGATGGCCAAATCCACAGAGTCGGGGAGACCCAGAAGTAATTACAGATTGTTTTGGACTGGTTGGTTACCACTTTTTAATTCAACGATGCAAACCTTTCACATGGCGGCAAGTTTCCTGAAGTTTCACAACACATGCACAGGTTAGCCTTATCATAAGTTATCTTGTTCGAGTTTTAATTGCAAAGAAGTATAATTAATGAATTATACTCGCTTTGTTACACTTTTATGTCCAGGGTAGTAAGGTTTTTCTTGTTCTCGGCATAAAACAACGGGTGATTACAGAGTATACAAGAATAATTACCAGCGAATCGAATATTTTAAACCTTGCTGATTTTGAACGGCACTGGGCTAGCGAAAGTTTTATTTCACGGAAAATTGCTCTCTGCACGAAAAGATGTAATCAAAGTAGAGCTAAGGATTTTTATACCTCACATGGAAATCAAAGTTTTAATTTTTGCAAAATAATCGACAGAGTGGGGCCTTTTGACGATGCTGTTTTGAAGGAAACCGCAAAGAAATGTACTAGAAAATATAACACGCGCGCTCGCAGAACCGTTGCACTGTCCATTGAATCATCGCAGCTGTGCTATTTTGTTGTTCACAAGACCGTAGAGTCCAATAGATCAAATAGAGTATTTTCTTCTCCAGTAGCGGTGTTGTTTTCCCTTTTCGGCCGAAAACTGAAGATCAAAAATCTAAAGAACCTACAACAGTTTGTCATTCCCACCTCAAAACATGTTAGATTTTTATGGGCCAGAACAGCTGAAACCAGAAGTTTATAACGTAGGTTTCTCTTGGAGCCCATCAAAAATTATCAAGTGACAATCGTCAAATGAACATAGTAAGGCACAAAACTTTTTACATTAAAATCCAAAATACCAGAAACTAAATTTTCATTAAGCCCGTTTCAATCGTTTCTTCGCTTAGTTTTTGGAGTAGAGAGCCCGCCCGCTCCCCGGGGGTACTACCAGAAAAATTGGGGAGGGGGGAATGGGTGTGCAGCTCGCTTCCCGAAACCGTTATCCTGTTGCAGACCAAACTCTGCGATTTTACATACCCTGTTTCAGACCTGACGGGTGTGTGTTTCGGCGCGTACACGGGCACACGCTGCATGAGTGTAAACACAATTTGAGAGGGGCTTTTGTTAATGATCTAATCGATAATGATGAAGAAGTAGCTTAGCTTCTTCTATAAAAAAAAAAAAATACCCAATTCAGGACAAGAGGGCACAAACCATACCCTATATCAGACCAAAACGGCTAAAAAGCCATACCCTTTGGGACCGCACATACCCCTATAACCCATATAAGGGAGTATTACCCCCCAGGGGATACTCCCGGGGTAAGAAGCAAACGTAAGCCTTTCGCAGTCCTCGACCCGCCAGAATTTTCTTTATGTACGACACGTGAGGCAAGCAGAAGAGTGTAGCGAAGTAATGGAGAGGAAGGGGGGGGGGAGAGGTAGTGTGATCCCTTTCAAGAAGGAATTTTAGCGAAATCACGTATACCTTTAGCTACTGTTAATGTTTTCTTTCTTTCTTCATAAATTCGCGCATCACGTGAGATTTTTGGTTGCTTTTCACCCGTCACATGCTAATTTTTACCCTCATCACGTGTCACGAAATAACCCTTTGCAACCCTGAATGAAAATGTGTCCAGATACAAAAATCGTTACAGGATGTCATAATCAAGTTTTACATGATATCGCATCATTAAAAGGGATTCGTTCGTAACACGATAAAGTTTTGTGGTCCTCCGGCGGTCGTAGACATTACATTAGGTAATACTGTAAATTTTAAAGAATATAAATATTTTAAAGATAGAGGGATGCGTACCTTAATTAGCAGCTAGTCGAAAATGAGGAAATTCTGAATGACGCTAAGATGATGACGCTCGGGATATATCCAATCATGGCGATGCTTGGATAGCTTTCCTCTTTCGTTTGCCAAGTGGAGCTCTGATAATTACAACTTTTGAAACAATGAACGACCATGGTTACATTTTATAAGATATCATTGGTATTGGAGGGGTGTAGCTCATATTTAAACTGAAAATGTGGAGATTGAATGTAAAATATAAATAAAATTTAGCTCATTCTGAAAATTGAATTTTTTCATGAAAAATGGCACGATGAAAAATGTATTCAAAAAAACATTTTAAGTCGATTCATTAACTGATCATTTGAGGGCTCACGACATTTATCTTAGTGAAAATTCATAATCATAAGTGTAGGTGTGTCCAATTTAGGGGAAAGATGAAATTTAAGATTTAAATATTTTATAATGAACACCGTTAAATTTGTTTCTGACTTCGGCTTATTAACTGTTTTGCCATTATAAAACACCTGTTAATTTCTTTTGCTCTCAACTCTGCACGCAATCGACCAAAAAAAAACCGAAACGCATTCATAACAGCTAATAAAGACAAGATGAAAGCCAAATAAGCTGATTAAATTCAATTTGTAAATATTTAATTTTAATTTCTGTTTTTCGTTAAAGTTCAATTCATAGCAGGAATTTAGTCCCAAAAAAAAAGTGTCGATTTAGCGCTCTACGCCTCTGTTTCTAGCTTTGCTCAAACTTATTACTGATTAAAATTATCGATATCAACAAATGGAAAAAATGAATTTATTTCGTACCACGCCATCAATATTCTGGCTATCTGTCCCCTATATAGTATGTGCTTCTTTTCTCTTTACATTTCCTGTCCTATACACTCAAAGTGTTAATTACATCCGAGTAGAAACTCTTTTTCTGCACCAAAGATGTGTCAGGTTTCTTTTCGATGCAATCAGAGCTAAAAACGATTGAGATTGTAGGGTTGTAAAGATTGCAAGGTTCTGTTATTGTTCTTAGTTGACCTGGACTTCATCTTCAATCCTTCCCTCGGCATTTTCTCCACTCCTTGTTGTGGTGTTGTTTGATGACCCAAAAATTCTCTTTTCAAAGTCTTTAGCATCTTGGTAACTTTTTCTTAAAAGCAATTCAATAAACGCAATTCGAAACTGCCTTTTTCTTACTGCATAAATCGTTGGATTAACAAACGAATTAAACATGACCGGCAAAGTTATAAGAAAACGAGCAAGAGTTTTAATATCAGTCAAGGTCCCTTCACTGACGAGAAACTGCAAAACAACTCTACTGATAAAAGAAGGGCAATACGAAAGCAAAACTGCTACTAATATTATTGTGGTTAATTTCAAGGCTTTTTTCTCCTTTATGAACTTTTCCCTGGCCTCAATGGAAACTTGCTGGGAAAGAATTGCTTTTTCATGTCGGCGGGCTTCTACATAAACAGTAACTTGGAAACAATAGATCAGTAAAATACTTGTTACCACAAGGGCGTATGTCAGAGTGATGATAACGGGAGTAAGTTCCTGGAAACTGAGAGGAAGAACTGCTGCGATCCATGCCAATGCAGAAAAAAACAGTAGACGGATTTTGGTGACAATTGTACTGTGAGTGAAGGCATGTTTAATTGCCAAATACCTTTCAGCACTGACTAAAGTCAGCTGATAGAGCGAAGCAACACAGCAAACGGTTAAGGAAATGATGAAGGCCAAATTAAGTTCACAAAAGTCTCCATAGCTCTTGCCATGTAGAAGGTAAATGGTTATGGTTATGTGAAGGGGTTGTACGACAAGGCCAACCATGAGATCCGTAAGAGCCAAACAAGCCAACAGAATGTCTGGGTGCGTTTGAAGTCGTCGTTTGGTTTTCACGGCGGCTATAACCAACGTGTTTAACAGAATGTTGAAGGGACAAGCGACAAAGTCGACGACCGCTGCTGTAATAAGAAATCCGTAGAAATTGGCTGGAAAATATCCTTCTGATACATCTTGTAAAACAAAGCTTTTGCAAGCTTTGTCCGTTCCGTTAGATGGAGACATTCTCAAATTTTGCCTCGTTTTTCAGATGCTTTGATCAGTCGAAGTTTGTTTCGACTTCTCATGGGCGTTAATTAAAAACTGCACAGGCTTAATGAAGCCCACCTCACGAACAGTTTAACAAGCCGCTGTCAGTCTTTTCTGGCGCCTTGGTAACTATGAATTACGTTATGACGAGGCGTAACTAATCAATAACAGTACAAATATCGTTTTCTTTCTTACAACAACAAGAGGCTTTTTCGTTAGGTAATAAATTACGTGAGAACCTGAACTTCGTTTAACGGGAACAATCCTGAAACGACGTACAATAACCCAAAACTAAAATGCACACACAATTTGTATTTTGTAACCTTTAAAACTTTTCTGAAATTTTGAATTATCCTCGAAGGCAGTCCACTTGTAACCATGGTAACTGCTTTGACGGACACCAAATTAAAACAGATTCTATTTATGGAGTCCATTTCAAACTTTGCACTTTTCGGTTTTACAGTTCAATACAAATTTCAATTCAAAGTCGTCTTAAATAATTTTGGTGTCATCCTTTTTAGAGGAGTCCTGTCTAGATGTAATTTGTCGCTTACAGTGATCAAGAACTAACAGCGAAACTTTCGAGATCCGCGTGCGATAGCGTCATCTGTGCGTCTATACTCTTATAAAGACCAAAGACCATCAGCCAATAAGCCTTCGAGAATGTGGAAAGCAAGATTGGGGTTTCAATTTAATAACATTTTAATTGTTTAACATGGTTTTACCAAACGGTCTTGGTAGCAGCAGGCAACTAATGAATTTTAAAAAATTGAAAACGCTTTCAGTTTTAATGCATGTTCGACAGTAACTTCTGTCATCGTCAGTTACAAGTAAAGTGAATTTGAATATACAAGTAAATATATACATGAATATATCTAATACAGTTAAGCACCAAAACATCACTTATAAAGTAGTACTATGCTCTATTACTCCGTGATTGGATCTTAAGAAGTATATACTCGCTGCACACGAAAAAAACAACCATTTTTCTAAAATAATTGCCTAAGAGGTCTATAAGTTTAATACACATTTTCCGTGCTTTCAGGGCAATGTTTGAATTTTAGCTATGTTATAAATCTCTCTCGACACGGCGTCGATTTTTCTGGTTTTTGGACAGACAAATGAAATGCGATTGTCATTATCGTTATTGTAACGATATCGAGAACTATGAATAACTTCTATGTTTTTCTAGTTTCGAAAAACGATATTTATAATATTTACTGAAAACTAAAGTAAAAATTTGACGACTACACGCGTCTCATTGGAAAGAAACTGAGCACGACTCTCCTCTTGGTAATGAATCAACACCTGTGAAACAACGTAATGAGTAATTCCAGAAAAAAAATGGAAGTTACACGGAAAGTAGCCCTCGCGCTAAATATTCAAAACAACATGGCGAACCAAGAAGGAACGTCAATCTCTCTTCTGAGAATATTCCCGGCGTCAGTGTGAGCGGAGAACAGATTGAGAAACTGACACAAAGCCAATTGAAATTCTGGCTTAAAAAGTCGCCGTATAAATCAAAGGGGCAAAATAAAGGAACTTTTGGAAAGAGATTTTTGTCTCTCTGATATGCGCAATAAAACCAACCTGTTCTCACTATTTTTATCGCCTAAAAGATCTTTACTCATGGTTTCGGTAAAAGAATCTATTGTAAATGAAATGACAAGTTTAAAAATCTGCGACCCTGACCCGAAGAATAGCTTTACTAAAGCAGAAGTGAAAAGCTGATGAAGCAAGCTAAGAGCTCGAAAGAACATACGGAAGTAAACTTAAAAATTATGCCGGATATCGGGAATATTGCAGCAAAGCACTTAAACAAATTTCCTACGGCTGAATCATGTTTCACTGACGACTTCAGTCTTCTCAAGTGAGAGAACATCCAATCCCTCTTCATGAAGTTAACAATCGGTGTGAGAAAATAAAGAGAAATGTTTTCAAAAGATGCTAAGCTAGGTAGAGTCTCAAACAATACCACGATGTGCTTGTCAAGAATGGAATAAGCAAGGTTCGGTACTGTGACACCATCAGTGAGTTACAAGGTAGGATGCAACCACAAAGCTGACACATCATTTGTGTCCAGCCAAGTTTCCTTTTCTTTAACATTTGCTCCAGACAAGTAACTCTAACCTACATACATTGAATGTTTTCCTCCTACCCCGACATTTCGTCCGCCATTTTGATAGCTTGAGGGCTATTAAGCCTCGTTTGCATCCAACTTCCGTGTTTTGTTTTTTTTTTTCTGGAATCGGCGTATTAGTCAAATGAGGAATTTTACGTTGAAGTTAAGGGCTCACTAGTCTGGCGTTTGTAGGCATTATACTAGGTTCTGCTGCAATATTTTAACGGGAAGAAAATTTTAAAAGATAGAGGGATGCGTCCTTTAATTGGCAGCTAGCCGAAAATGAGAAAATTCTGAACGGCCCTTAGAAAATGACGCTCGGGATATATCCAATCATGTCGATGCTTGGATAGCTTTCCTGCATCGTTTGCCACGTGAAGCTCTGACAATTACAACTTTTGAAACAATGAACGATCGAGGTTAAATATTATAAGACAGCATTGGTATTTTGTTGTATAGAGCGGTTTTCATTTGAGTAGGAAACGTAATTGGTTTTGCACTTACTACGCCACCCGATTGGTTTAAAAAACTCGCGCTACTTTTTCATCTAATCAGGAGTAAAACCAATACCAGTTGTCACTCGCTCGCACGCGTTTCCCCGCGCTTTGCATCAGCTACATGTAATTACTTCGAGTTTTGATTGGTTCACTGTATTGTCTATGTGTTTTGTGATTGGCCAGAGTGATTACTTTGGTTTTGGTTTTACGACACTCGATTGAAAACCGCTCTATTCTCCTTCATTGCATTACAAACTGAAGGGTTGTAGCTCATATTTAGACTGAAAAAGCGGAGATTGAATATAATATATAAATTAAATTTGGCTCATTCAAAAAATTGCATTTTTCATGAATACTGGCACGATGAAAAATGTATTCCAAAATATGTCTTTGCCGATTCATTGATATGAGAGGGCTCACAACATTCATATTAGCTAAAATTCATAATCATAAGTGTAGCTGTGGTCAATTTAGGGAAAGGTGAACTTGAAATTTAAGATTTAAACACAAAAAAATACGGTTAAATTTGTTTCTGACTTCTGCTCATTAACCTTTTTTCTTTGTCACTATAAAACACCTGTTTATTTCTTTTGCTCTCAACTCTGCGCGCAATTGACAGAAAAAAGCCGAAACTCATTCATAGCAGTCAATAAAGACAAGATTAAAGCCAACTTAGCCGATTAAATTCAGTTTGTGAATATTTATTTTCAATTTCTGTTTTGAAATACAGTTCAAGTTATGACAGTAATTGTGTCCGAAAAAAGTGTCGATTTAGCGCTGTACGTCTCTGTTTCCGCCTGCTCTAGCTTAATATTGATTAAGATTATCGATATCAAACAGAAGATAAATATGATATTACTTGGCTCGTATACTTGTACTACGCCATTAATATTCTGGCATCTGTCCCCTGTTTTAATAGTATATGCTACTTTTCTACTGTTTTAAGGGCTAATTGCATCCGAGAAGAAACTGTTCTACACCGAAGACCTGTCAGTTTTCTTCTCAACACAATCAGAGCTAGAAACGAAGACTGTACGGTTCTGTTCTTGTTTTTGGTTGACCTGGACTTCATCTTCAGTCCTTCCCTCGGCAATCCCAGCTCCGTGACTCCCTTCCCTGGTGTTGTCCGATGACCTAACGAGTCTCTTTTCAATGTCTTTAGCTTCTTGGTAACTTTTTTCTTAAGAACAATTCAACAAACGCAACTCGAAACTGCCTTTTTCTTACTGCATAAATCATTGGATTAACAACTGAATTAAACATGACTGGCAAAGTTACAAGGGAACGAACAAAAAATTCAATATCAATCGGGGTTCTTCAATGAAATACTGTAAAACAACTTTACTAGCGATTAAGGAAGGGCAAAAAGACAGAAAAAGTGCTACTAATATTATTGTAGTTAATTTCAAGGCTTTTTTTTCCTTCATAAACTTTCGCCTGGCCTCAATGGAAACTTGCTGAGAAAGAATCGTTTTTTCATGTCGACGGGCTTCCACATAAACAACAACTTGGAACCAAAAGATCATTAAGATACTTGCTGGCGGAAGGGCATGAAACAGAGAGATGAAAATAGGAGAAAGTTCCTGGAAACTGGCTAGAAGAACTGCTACGATCCAAGCCAGAGCAGAAAAAACCAGTCGACGGGTTTTAGTAACAACTGTACTATGAGTGAAGGCATGTTTAATTGCCAAATATCGCTCAGCACTGACTACAGTCAATTGATACAGCGAAGCAGCACAGCAAACGGTCAAGGAAATGATGAAGGCCAAAATTAGTTCACAGAAGTCTTCATAGCTTTTGCCCTGCAGCTGGAAAACAATCATGGTTATGTGAAGGAGTTGTACAATAAGACCAACCATAAGATCCGTAAGAGCCAAACAAGCCAACAGAATGTTTGGGTGCGTTTGAAGTCGTCGTTTGGTTTTCACGACAGCAATAACCAACGTGTTCAACAGAATGTTGAAGGGACAAGCGACAAATTCGAGGACCGCTGCTGCAATAAGAAATCCATAGAAATTGGCTGGAAAAAATCCTTCTGGAACATCTTTTAAAAAAAAGCTTTTACAAGCTTTGTCAGTTCCGTTAGATGGAGACATCAGAACCATGTTTCATGAATCTTCCTCGTTTATTGTGATGTGCTGCTCAGTCTAAGTTTGATTAGACTTCTCACTAGCGTTAATTAAAAACTCTCTACTGCACAGGCTTAATGAAACCCACCTCAAGAACAGTTTAACGAGCTGACCTCAATCAGTTGTTGCCATAGTAACCATGAATTACGTCATAACGAGGAGTAGCCGCGTGAATGGCAATTGATGATCAATACCAGGACAAACATCAATTTATTTCTTACAGCAACAGAAGGTTTAACTGTCAAGTGTGGACTTTCGCTATGTAAAAGTACATGAGAACCTGAATTTCGTTTAACAGAAACGATCATGAAAATCACGGTAACTATGTACAATAACTCAAACCTAAAATGTAGAAACGATTTCTATTTTGTAATCTTTAATCCTTTACGAAATTCTTGAAAGCCCACTGAGTTATCTCTGAAGGCAGTCCACTTGTAACCTTGGTAAATGCTCTGACTGACAGCAACATAAAGCAGATTCTATTCATGGAGTCCATGCCAAACTTTGTAGTTTTTGATTTCACAGTTCGATACAAATTCAAAGTCGTTTTAAAAGATTTTCGCGATTTTCTTTTTGGAGGAGTTCTGTTTAGATGTAATTTGTTGGTTATAGTTATCGAGAACCAACAGCGAAATTTTCGAGATCCTCGTGCGATAGCCTTATCTTTGCGTCTATACTTTTAAAAAGATCACTGACTATCAGTCAGTAAGCGTTCGAGAAGGTGAAAAGCAAGAGTAGGATTTTAATTTAATAAAAGTTTTAATTGTTTAACACGGTTATATACCCGAATATATCTACTACAGTTCAGCACCAAAACACTACTCATAAAATAGCACAGAAGCTTATCGCCTGGTAATATGCTTCTGAATAGCACTATACTCCATTGCTCCGTCATTGGATTTTAAGAAGTATATATTTGTTGCACATGGCAAAACATAATCGTTTTTCTAACATAACTTCGGGAAAGTCTAGAAATTTAATACACAATTTTTCGTGCATTCAGGGCAATGTTTGAATTTTGCCTATGAATTTATCTCGTCCTCGAGACGGTGCCGACTTTTCTTGTTTTTAGAAAGACAAATGAAATGAGGTTGTCATTATCATTATTGTATAGCGATATCGGGAAAGATGCATAATTTCTACGCTTTTCTAGTTTTAAAAACGATATCTACAATATTTCCTGAAATCTGAAGCGAAACTTTTTCTTGGTAATAAATCAGATTTTTTACTTAACTGAAGCATCTGTTAAACAACGTAGTAAGTAAAACCCATTAGTCAAATAAGGAGCTGTTGACAGTTGGATTAAATAAAGTATTTTCACATGACGTTATGGCGGCCATGCCATAAAATTAAGATAACAAAGCTCTTTACATATGCAAAAAGGAAAGGCTCTGCCTTCCTTGTTTTGCCGTTCTGATCATTTTAGGCTGTAGTTTATTTACCAAGGGTTAATATGTATTTCTTCAATAACTACAAGATGTTTCGCATAAAAGCTAGCTGGCTATAACTACTATACAAGCAGCACACGCATTACTGATTACCATCCGATTTCTAGCCCAGAGGGGTGTGGGTAATCCTTTATATGGGTTGTATGGGTAAGTGCGGCCCCAAAGGGTATGGTTTTTCAACTGTTTTGGTCACAAATATATGCGGTATGGATTTTGGCCATTTTGGTCATAAACAG